CAGAGTACATAATTAAGTCCTGCATAACCAGAAATAACAGTACAATCTTAACAGTCTGCCTGGGCAGTTGGATAAATTCTAAGAGTCTCTTTCTGGCCCTCACAAAAGTTAGGTGGAAAACAGACCAGAGGCTGGAGGACCAACGACGGGAACTGGAAAGAGGCTGTGCAAGCCCTGCGCACGGAGGGTCCAGCCTGAGGACGCATCTCTGGAGGGCTAGCAAGGGCAGAAGCAAGTCATTTGGGGACCAATCCACTTAAACAAACTTGAGAAGTCTGAGTTAACTGGAGGTTTGTTGGTTGGGAGGGTTTTGTTTGTGTTTACTTGCTAAAGATGCTGGAAGTTAAAACTACTGCTGGAATCTGAACTACACCACAATCTTCACGTTTGTTCATTTTACCTGGCTGAAAAAAGAGAAGAGAGGGAAGGGGCATGGAAGAGTCTGATCTAAAACCTCCACCAACTAGTCCACCTGTGGATCCATGGGTAGCTCGCACAGTTACTACAATGGAAAACCAGCCAACAAACACAACCCTAGGACGACAGGTGACGGAGAAGCAAGGGAGAGAAAGAAATTTGGCATGAACACCTGTTCATTTTTTGTACTTGGATCTAGAGAGCATAGAGTTAGCTGGAATTCTTTATTTGTAAAACAAATAGCCACATTTAAAAATTATCAAATATTATCTACTGATATAGTTATCTTATGGCCACACTGACAATCCACGCTAGGCCCTTGGGATAGCTGTGGGAAACAGCACAACTATGAATGACAAATCCTAGCCAAGAACAGACTCTTGTGTACTTTTTATATTTCAAGGGGCTAAGGAAACCTGCACATTTAAATAAAATTCACAGCACCAAGCACTAATGGGAGACCTCCCCTCCCCTCCAAGAAGAGGACACAAGGTACTCACCAGTCATTAGAGAGTAGTAATTGGGATAGGAGAGACTAGGGAAGTCTGGAGTCAAGTAATCCACTTTTACTCCTCTCCTTACAATCTCTTTGAAACCAGGCAATGATTCCAGAGCCTCATCACTGATGTAATCTGAGCGAAAACCATCCAGGAGAAGCACCAGGAGCTTCCGGTGGGCAGAGGCTGGCTGAGCCAGGCTTAGCACAAGGCCCAGCAGGAGCGCCCTGAGCTTTGCTGCCATGCTGCCAGGAGCCTGCCAGCGCCTGGCTGGCACAGCTGTCCCCTTGCAAAGACTGAGATGGAGAATCTGTAGCTATTCTCTCTTCTAGGGGCTGGACCTTGAGCTGCTGGCCTTCCTGAGCCAAGTCCACTTTCAGAATTTAAAGGAACAGCACCCTCTTTTAAGAACATGTCTTTTCACCCTTCACTATAAGACCAGAGAACAACTGCCTCTGGATAAGCTGAGCTCCCAAACAACCCAGACTTAACGTTATGGGAGAGAATCCAACCTTTATTATTTTGGGTGAATGTTCCTGAAATACCAACGTTCACAGAGAGGTGGAATTTGGAAGATGGCAAAGACAATACAAACTTTGTCCTACTAGCCAAAAGGAGGAGCCAGGGAAAAGGCACTCTTTTAATTGGTTGTCCTCCCACATCTCTGCCTAATTTAGGCTTTCTGACTTTTCCACTTACAATTTAGTAGCCCAGAGCTCTAGTTTAGTATACAAACAACAGACAATGAATTTAGGTGGACCTATCTATAAACTTTACAGCATTTTCTCTAAGGAAATACTATCTAAAAACAAACAAATGCCTTGTCTGACTCTGACATTCATTTATTCTTCACATGCATGTACATAAAGTGCTATTATTTTTCAAATACAAATAACCATCGGTTGCTATAGGAGAAGCTGGTTTAGAAAGGAGCCATAGAATCAGACAGAAGATTCCAAAGTTGGACAACAGGACATCATTCCCAATAGATTAATTTGAAGCAGCATCCCTCAGAGGAGGAAGATGAGCTTGAGAAAAGGAATTTGAAATGGAAAAGAAGAACTAGAAATAACCAAGCAAGCTTCAGTGCAGAGAAGACTAGGCAGGGGAAGGAGCCAGAGGCTACTGGGACCCATTGTCAAGGTCAGCACTGGGCAGTCAGGCACG